GAGAGAGAGAGAGAAACACAACCCCGTCACCTGCTCAGGTGTCGCTCAGACAATGTAGCCGGGTGCACCTATCTCCCCACACATCTCTAGGGCACAGACGGGAACAGGCCCAAATTCTGGATACTCCATATAGTCAGCCACGTATCACTGCGGCCCTAGTGCTCTCCACAGGGCCCCTCAGCCTGGAGGAAATATTGCTAGGTAGTGGGTGCTATATGAACTGGCCAAGGCCTATGTACTAGGGAATAGGAAGAGGTACGCTGCACTAATATATCCGAGGCCCTAGCAGCCTCCGGCTGGAATTTCTTGTGGATGGTCCAGCAGTTCAGGCACTAGTTTAGGACTTGGGAGACCTGGAATAAAGTCCCTGCTCTGCCACAGACTTCCTGTGTGACCTTGGACGAGTCACTGGGCCTGTCTGTGCCTCAGTTTCCTCATCTGTACAGTGAGAATAGCAGCACTGCCCTTCCCCACAGGGGCGCATGAGGTTAGATACAAAAGAGATCGAAAGAACTCAAATATGATGGTGATGGGCCACATACATACCTTAGATAGATCACTCCTAAGTGAGCGTGTCCCACCAAGAATGAAGCAGAGACACTGGGAATATCAGCTCTAAAAGGGACCACATGGATCACCTCCGCCACCCCCAGAGAAGGAACATGTAGAGGGGATCCACCAAGGAGGAACACGTACCTCCGAGCAAAGCTTCCCAAACTACTGCTGGAAAAACCGCTGTCCCTGCAGGAACTGACGCACCATTGATTCACCACTGGGAAGATTCCCATCCTGGAAGACAATGGCAACTCTGAGGAATTCTGTGCAGATCTCCTGCCCCACTTGCCAGCAGAGAAAGGAGAGTGGCCACCCCAGTAGCATGCACCCCATGGCAGGCCCAATCCATACAGCTCCCAGCTGAGACACTGCAGTCATGTATGGACATGATACACCCTCCAGAGGGGAGGGGGAGGGCAACAGAGTCTGGGGAAAGGGAAGAGCTTGTTGACAATACAGCTGAGGGTGCTACTGGGTTATGGTTCCAGGGTATAAGGCTGCCTAATCTAGAGTTAGGGGTACACAGCGTAGGACTCCCTGGAATAGGATTAGAATTACAGTTGGTAGGACTCCCAAAGCTAGTGTTATGGTTCCAGAGGGTCAGGCTCCCAAGGCTAGGGTTCACATGGATACGACTCCTTCAGCTAGGGTTGGGTTCCAGAGGGCAAGGCTCCCCAAGCTAGGGTTAGATTTCCAATGAATAGGATGCCCCGACTAGTGTTAGGTTTCCAGAGGTTAGAGCTCCCCAAACTAGGGTTAGTGTTTCAGAGGGTAGGGCTGCCAGGGTTAGGGTTCCAGAGGTAGGGCTCCCCAAACTCAGATTAGGATTCCATCAAGTAGGGCCAGCCCAAGCTAGGGGTAGGGTTCCAGAGGGTCAGGTGCCACAAGCTAGAGTTAGGGTTCCAGAAGGTAGGACTCTGCAAGCTTAGGTTAAGGTTCCAATGGGTAGGGCTCCTCAATTTTGAGTTCTAGAGGGTTGGCTTCCCCGGTTAGGGTTCCAACAGGTAAGGCTCACCGAGTTAGGGTTCTAGCAGGTAGGGTTCCCTGGGTTAGGGTTCCTGAGGATAAGGTTCCCTAGGCTAGGGTTAGAGTTTCAATGGACAAGACTCCCCAAGCAAGGGTTAGGGTTCCCAGGGAGAGGACTCCCCAAGCAGGGTTAGGGTTCCCAGGGTAGGGCTGCTCTGAGAGAACTGGATGTGATATAACTCGCAGCCATGTTGTTCACTTAGGCCCCCATAAGCTGTAAGCGAGGACACCAAATAGGAATAATCTGGCCTTGCTTAAGCAGACAGAACAAAAAAACCTGCAAGCTGCAGTTTCACTGGCTGGGACAGATAAAGTGAAAGGACAGATTCATGAGAAGGTGTGTGGGTGAGGGAAACATGGAAAACTGACTCTGATTCTGGTTGTCTGTTTGTGTCAGTTTTTTTTGCTGAAGCTGCTTTGCTTACATGGAGAATAATGAATTGTTATTGAATTGTTATTGGCTGTTGCTAGGGAAATTGTTAGCCTATTAGAGGCTATTATGAGTTATGCGCTTTGTCTGGAGAAAATCTAATAGTTAGAAAGCATGCTTTGGAGCAGTCAGAGGAAGCTTTTCTTCAGGCAAGGAGCCGACACCTAAACTCCCCATCAGCTGGACAGAAAGGCCCCCAGAAGGCTGGCTGGTGATCACTCAAAACCATGTCAGACTTTGGGTAAATATAAATGTTTGGAATGCTCTAGTCCTACTGCTGAAGCATTTATATGTGTGTGCGCTTCAGACCTAATAAAAAAGTAGTTTTAGGTAAAAGCACTCTTGTTCGTGCCAATCATTTATCAGATGGAAGAGCTATGTCCCCATTGATTTATTCCTGACACTACCTGGAGAGAAACAGTTAAGTTGCCACTGCAGTGCTGTGGGTTCTGAAAACCCAGGGTAACAGGGCTGCCCAAGCAAGCATTAGGATTCAAGATGGAATGACTCCCCAAGCTAGGGTCGGGGTTCCACAGGGTAGGGATCCCCAAGGTAGCATTAGGGTTCCAACAGAGAGGGCTCCCCACACTATATTTAGGTTTCCAATGCATAGGACTCCCCTGGCAAAGGTTAGGGTTTCAGAGTATAGGGCTCTCCAGGATATATTTAGGTTTCCAAAGGGTAGGGGTCACTGTGCTAGGCCCCAACACCTAGGATTAATGTCCCAAAGGTAGGGGTCCCTGAGCTAGGATAAGGGTTCTAAAGGGTAGTAGTCTTCAGGTACCATTAGTGTTCCAAATGGTAGGGTTAGGGTTACGTTTCCAGAGGGGAGGGATCCCCAGGCTAGGGTCTGGGTTCCAAAACCCCTCCCATGATTTCCCTTGAGGGTCTGAGCAAAAGAATATGTTAAGAGAAGGCATCTGAGACTCAGTAACTGATCTGTTAGAGAGAAGACTCAGAGGGCGATGCAGAAGGGCTGCTGTGATCTTACCATTTCTACCCAGGTGCCACCAACAGGTATGAATCGTCCCTCTTTGGCATAGTCCTGAATCTGAGCGTACAACCCAGGATACCAGTTCCTCACCCACTCAAACTGCTGGGCCTGCAAAGAAGACCGAGCCATAAAGCACCCGGAGACTATTCTAGAGATTATCCAATTTGTCTAAGGCTTCTGGCTCACAGCAGCTGCAAACCTGAATTTTTAGCAGGCATTGGAGCTCAGTGCAAATAGGACTGGTCCCAGACCTGGCAGGACAGCTCTCTGCTGCCAGGTAGGAGGCTTGGGCTGAAATCTGCACCTGGCATCTGGGGTTGGGAGCATGGTAGAAGCAACTTGGAGACCAGGGATAGAGAAGTCCCTTGCATAGCAGCCCTCCTCCCAGCCACTTACCATGCTCCTTCGAATATGCACTAACCTTCCTTTTGTCTTTGCTTCAAGAGTTTTGCTGCCCACCTAGGAGCGGAAGATGACAACTCACCTGCGAGCAGACAAACGTGAACTCCGGGTTCTTCTCCATCAGGCGTATGACTGTCACCCAGCTGCGAGCACACTTGCGGATAGACTCCTCGTATGGCCACAGCCAGGCTGCAGGGACAGAAGCAGGCTGAGCTCACTGTGGCCACATGGCCTTTCCATTTTAAATGGCCATTATTTTATATACACACACAGCCTGCCACCTGCCAATGCCCATTCTGTGCTGCCTTCTCCTGGCTGGAAAGACACAGCTGAGCCTTATCACAGCTATGAAAAACGTGTCACAGACCATGAAATCTGGTCTCCCCCATAAACTCCGATCTTTTGTGTACTTTTACCCTGTACTATATTCTTTTATACTATAGGGCAAAAGTATATACAAGTACATAGCATTTCTCAAATGGGGGGTCCCAACCCAAAAGAGGGTCTCAAATCTGTTATATAGGGGTTGCAGTATTGCTACCCTTACTTCTATGCTGCCTTCAGAGCTGGGTGGCCGGAGAGCGGCAGCTGCTTGCCAGACACCAAGGTCTGAATGCAGTGCCGCTGCCAGCGGCAACACAGAAATAAGGATGGCATAGTATGGTTTTGCCACCCTTACTTCTACACTACTGCTGCTGATGGCACTGCCTTCAGAGCTGGGTAGCTAGAGAGCAGCGGCTGCTGGCCAGGAATCCAGCTCTGAAGGCTGCGCTGCTCCAGCTATCCAGCTCTGAAGGCAGCCAGAAGTAAGGGTGGCAATACCGCGACCACCCCTACAATAGCTTTGCAACCCTATTTTGGGTTGGGACCCCCAGTTTGAGAAACACTGACTTAAGGGCTTTACATGTTTACATA